GGAGCTGCCATATTAGTGTACCTCGTGGGACACCAATATGGTGGCCAGAAAAAAGTGTCGACATGTGGAGCTTACTTTGGTTATTCAGACCACTGATTATTTATACTGCACAAACCTACATTTACATAAACACTTTTGCAACTACTTTTACTTCACAAATGACTAAAAATGACGGGATAAGTAAATCATTTTTTTATCACACACCACCATACAGGTAACTCTGAAATTCAAATGTGCTGGCTTCAACCCGAGGGATGATATTGAGCTGAAAAGCAAGGCTGTGGTCTAAGAAATATTATGAGAAGACCAGAGGTTACCAACAAAAAAATCCTGGGTGCCCTGCACTTGAGCTTATACGAAAAAGTAACTTTTACCAGTTGCCCAAAGGCAAAATTTAGTCGCCTGTGGCACCCAACATAGATAAAAATTTTGCACCTCTTATGCCTGATGAGGATTGAAACTCTGGTGGCTCTTTAGGTTTGGATTTTTAAACTTGATAATGTCAGGTTAAAATGATCTAATTAATGTACTCAGTTTATCAGTTGTTTTGCTGACACCATAGTAAACAGCATTATGCTTAACTTGGTGACTAAACAGATGAATTGAAAATACAATCAATTTTCACCTTCAGATATAATTCCCACTCCCCTCGCAATGGCCTTAGCTGTGATTGGATGATCACCAGTGACCATGATAACTTTGATTCCAGCACTGCGACATTTGCTGACGGCATCGGGGACAGCGGCACGAGGAGGATCAATCATGGACATGAGACCAACAAAGCACAAGTTTTCAAGTGGGAAATTAGGAGGCTGAGAACAAAAAGCATATTTTGCCATAAGTATGTTATAGGGCTCCCTGTCCCCAACTTTCAACCGAAAGAACTCTCAAAAGAATTGTTCATGTACTTTACAGCCTTTTGCTCCTTAGGGAAACGGTTTCTCTGTCATCTGGTATAAAACAAGCACTGTTTATATAGCTTCAAACAGAGCAAAATTTTAATGAGGAATTTGTCTGACACGGTAGTAGCATGCAAAAGCATGACTCTTTTGTCCTACTGAGCGAAATTGTCGTGCATGTGCCATCACCAATGTCACTGAAATCCTATGGAGGGTCACAAATTGGAATTTGGAAATGTTGTTCTTTTTTTCAGGAGGGAGGAAAACCAGAAAACTGGGAGAAAAACCCTTGGAGCAAGGCGAGAACCAACAACAAACTCAACCTACAGATGACAAATGGCCAGAATCGAATCCGGGCCATAATGGTGGGAGGCGAGCATTCTCGCCACTATGCCAGCCCTGCTCCCAAGCTAAAGAAAGCATACAAGGATAGCTTTAAACTTACATCATCAGTTACAAACTCGAATCCAGGAGGATATTCTTCAACATTGAGGAAGAAGTGGCAAAAACCCAACACTCGCTCCCCCATTCCACCCAGTTCTAGATAAGCCTTCTCAAAAGCTTCTTTCATGTTGTCATCCAAAACCTCTTCCTTGCCATTAATCAGAATTGTGGAGCAGCGCTCTAGAATGCGTTCTGGTGCTCCCTTCATCACCAGTAAGTAACGAGGGTCCTCATCATTTGCTTGCTCATGGATGGAGACTTGGTATTTGTTAGTGGAGTTAAATGGGATTTCAGCAATCTTCTTGTTTTTCTCACGCATCTGAGACACATTGCCTACTTGAAGTTCAATGCATTTTAGCAGGGCTGATTCAGAAGCATCTCCATTTGTTTCCCTGTTGTGAAAAAGAATTGTAATTAAATTTCTTGCCTACATGTTATGTTATGTTAAAGTTTACTTCATTATTATTTTCACACGACCCATCTCACAGAACATTGTGCCTCTAGTCGAGGCAGTTGATGTTGTGGAGTTGGCAGACACAAATGATCCAGGTACAAATGAAAACCAAGGGCTCTTTGACTGCCATGTATATTGAAAAGAACACTCATTCTTCTTTTTTGAATTTGGATTGTTCTTCTGAGGTGCTACCATTACTAAATGCCACATCCTAATGAAAATGTGTCATGTGAAAGTGGAATGTGGTTTTGTGGTTTTCCAGTACAGAGCATCAGCATTTCACAAAATGAAAATTGAGCCTGCAATGATTTTTCACTCATGGAAAATACCACAACATCCTAGATGGCTGACCAAAATGATAACTTTATTGCAAAAGAAATCTGCAAATCATTCTCTATTTTCTAAAAGTTCCAGAAAGATGACAAGTGGTCAGAATGCAGGTACAGTAACTCATAAGAAATTTTATGGTCAAACTCACTCATCTAGTGGATAAATTTTCATATTGTTTTAGTCGTATATACAACTTTTTAGTCAACTCGGAGGACCGCACGGTCCCTGAATACAGTCAAATACACAGTGGTTCTCATTAGAACGGGGGACCAGGGTACCAATGCCAGGATATGCAAGAGTCAATACACACCCACTTTCACTGTTTCCAGGTGTTCTTTTTCTACATAAATAAAACCTCTGCATCTGCCAGATGCGATAAATATTTATTTCCACTGAGTTCCATCAGTTGATGATTTGCAGCGATGCAATGCAGACTGCAATGTTAACAATAATTCTGCCAAATCAGCAGGGCAGAAAAATAAAAAACAGGTCTGATTGCCTGGGGCAAGTAAATTTTGCTCCTGGGCGAGTGAAAATGGAAGTTTGGTGGTCCGATGGGAGAGTGAAATTAGACTCACTAGTCTTGTTAGAGATAATTTCCAGTCAACTCAGGATTGCAAGATGAGCAAAACCATGAGTTGAAAGCATGGATTAATTCAAAATCCAAGCATACTTTGCTTGCATTCATCCTATTATAGTCTATCAA